AGCTTTCTAGGTCAGGCTGGGCCTGGGCAAGTGTGGACATCACCAACCACCCCATCTCTGGTTACCTGCTTCCTAAGGGCTATGATAAGACCAAGGAGATGTGCAAGGTGACCCTAGATCCAGCCTGTCCTAAATGTCCTGTACAGAACCACTCCTATGGTGGTCCACCTCATTTGGGAGGCTCAGAGAATTCTCTGTTGGCAACATGACTGTGTCTCAACCACCGAGTTCTGGCTACGCCTCTCCAGTGGTCTCTTCAGTATGTAGTCATGGAATACCTTGTTGTTACCCAGGCCAGGCAGTGGAGGCCAGGGTGAGAGAAGTTGGATAAACTTTCTTCTCACCAAGTAAGAAAAATGAGTCAGTCAAGGCCCAATAGTTCAGTAAAGAAATAACTTAATCTGGGACAGTTGGACTTCAGGCAATGGGGAGATCGAAGTAGGCTATGTGGTCCCTAAGGTATCATCAGTGTGGTCACCAAGAGTCCCAAAGCCCCTCAGAGATGGCACAGTTGGCTACAGAGAACTTATGTGCAGTGGGAAAGACTCCTTTCTTCCGGGGAAAAAAACTGGCCCTATGGCAACTCAGGAGGATGTGTTCCCCAAGGAAAGCCCACACTGTCGGCTGACCACAGACATGTCACTTCCCTTCCCTTGTTGGTCGCAACCAGACAAAACGAGGGAGAAGTTTCCTTCCCCTCTCATTCTCAAGGAAGTACCCACTGACTAGATTTCTAATGTGCCCTCCTCAGAGCAAAAATGACTATCTGGCAAGTAAAGGATGCTGCCCACAGGGCTTTCGGAGACTGATGCCCCACAGGACAGGGGCTTGGACTTTGGTGGCTGAAGTTTCAGCAGTGGGGTTGGCCTGTCGTTGGGTGTTTGAGAGATGTGATTGCCTTCTTCGTGTGTGTTGCTGTACAGGGTGGTAGGGTCCCAACATCCAAGGCTGTCAACCCTCCTCTTGGCTTGCCCTGAATCTCTATCACCCTTTGAGTTCCCCAGCTACCGAGGCTACAACGGTCTGGGTCCATCCCTGTGTGTTCAGCTCTGTTCAGCACTTAAGAAGGGGTCAGATGAGAGGGAAATGTAGGCCTTGACTTAGTGGATCTCAGCCTGGAGATGAAGGTTCTCACTCCAGGGAGCCTGTGGGCGGGGTGGGAGCAAAGGGTCTTTTTAAACGGGAGTCATCGAAAGAACAATTCCAGCCCGGCATGTAGCAGGCAGAGGTGAATAGCTGGATCCTTGAGGCAACAGCGTCTGGGGAAGCTGCTGGAGGAACTGGCTTGACTCTGGACTCTGGTCAGGAGCTCTCCAAGGTCTTCCCACCTACAGAAATGGCTTGGAGCGTTGGTTTTGCTGTCCGTGGTGCTGAATGGGCCACGCCTGTGCCCTGGCTTCTGTAAATGACACTTCTAGCCCCCAACTCTCTGCCGCCAACACCTGCCCTCCTTATAATTCTTTCCAAATAGCCAATGACAGCATCTCTCCCTGCACCACAACCTCACTCGCTCTTTCTCCTGTGCCCAACCTGCCTCTTGAATTATTTCCCAAAATAGTCTGCCACACTTCTTTACATGGTCCTGTCTCATCAGTGAGGATATGAGAGATAGACGTTGTCATATAGGGAGCATTTGGTATTAGGGATTCTTGGAACTGTCAGAATGGCTTTATGGTCAGCATTTAGCAAAATAGAAAGGCTCACTTATTAGATAAGCTACCTACCTAAGATGTCAATGGTTTCATTGGGAACCAATGGGAATGACTTTTTCTGAGAGGGCAAACTGAGACAAAAGGGAGAAGACTTGGCCATGGTCACCTAGCCACCAAAAACAAAGTTAGAGATCTCATCTCCCAGTCAGGCTTCTGAACCATCGTGGGTGAGCCTCTGAACAAGGAACTATTAGCAAAGCACTGGCACCTGAAATGGGGAGAGCCTGTTGCTTCAACTGCCCAGTGCCACTCTGGACATCCATACCCTAATGCCCCTGGAAGAACACATCGCACACCATTGGCATCGATCCTCAGCAGGTGCACCTGTGTTGCTGTGGTAACGGGTACCCACCTCACTGCATCCAGCCCCACAGTTCTGGCCTGGAATCTGCCCTTAGACTGTATGTGCCCATCCTCCTGTGGTTTAGGGGGAGGGAGGAGCAGGGCTTTTCCACTCTCCTGTCCAAGGCTGTGCCTGAGGGCTTGGTGCCCTCATTAGCTGTAGCAGACAGCTCCCTCAAAGAGCAGGCACATCTGTCTTCCAGTCTTCTGGTACCCAGTGTTGATAGCCAGAAACTCATCCCCAGACAGCATTGGTCCCCCGGAGGGAAGCCCTTTTCACTCCCACATACAGCATCACAAATAATGATTTTCGAAGTTCAGCAAATCTAAGTCAGTTCAGTGCTGTCCACATGTACTCAGCCTTGCTCCTGGGGGGCACAAAGTGGCCCCAACATGAACTCTGCCTACTTGTCTGTCACCAGGGAGCTAAGTTCAGTAGCAAAGGAAAGGACCAGATTCGAAGAGACAGAGCCCACACTGAATCATGGCAAATGCCCTAAAATAGATTTTTGTTTTTCAAACTACAGATTGTGTGACAACAGAGGACTGTGAATTGATTTTGTGGGTCAGGACTAGCATTTGTATATGAAGCAAATAGATGCATTAGGACAGAGTAGAATGCAAAACATTATAGCTGTGGTCAAACTAAATTTTACTTTGTGAAACTGGATCCAAGCACTCATGTGCACGTGTGTGTGTGTGTGTGTGTGTGTGTGTGTGTGTATTCAATAATACAAAAATGTATGTGTTAATGGAGCCCGAGGTCAATAAAAGGTGAAGTGCTATGTTCTAAGAAGTGAGACTCTCTGGAAGAGGTACTTAGAGGGAGAAGAATGATGGATTCAGGTATAGAGTGTTGGACAGGCCCTGTGGAGGAGCTGGCATCGGGCCAGTGTGAGGATAAGCAGGAGTTCATTGGAGAGCAGAGAACAGGAGAGCCTCGAGCTGGAGCAGCACTGCTCTGAACATGCGCTAGATCCACTAAGACAAATGTCAGCTGTGTATGGGATGCAAGGCAGACATGGGGTCCAGGGGTAGAGAAATCTTAATATTATGCCAAGAAAGTTGAACTTCATTCTTGAGAGTAATAAAGAGACACTTATTGATGATTCTTAAGCAGGCATGACATTTAATCAATGGCCTGTACCACCTTTCTTACCAACAGTGAAGGAGGTGTTCCCACAACATGCCAGGTAAGAGATATCACTGGCTAAAGGAGCAGCAGGACCTTGGGAGTCTGGGTCTTTCTACAGAGTGCATAAAGATTTCTTTTTTATTTTATGTGTATGAGTGGTTTTGCCTACATATATGTCTGCTCACCATGTATGTTGTTAGTGTCAGAGGTCAGAACTCGATATTGGATTCCCTGGAACTGGAGTTAGGGATGATTGTGCACTACCATATGGGTGCTAGGAACTGAACCCTGCCCTTAATCACTGAGCCATCTCTCATCCCTTTCTGACTGGGACTGAGTGCTGGAGAGGTGCCGGGGTCTCTCGTTGAGGGTTACAATCATTGTGAGGTACCACAGGCTGACTCAGGATCCTGACAGAGACGGGCCTCAGGCTGATGGTCCCGGAGGCAAAGTTTTTTTAAACTCTGAATTTGAAAACTCTGTTGGCTTAGAGCACCAGATTAAAGAATAATTAAGCTAATAGAATCTCGCCCCATTGTTCTCTGCTCCTCGGCAATGCTCCTTAATAATCGCATCTCTCTGAGCTCACTGTCAGCTCAGTGGAAGTGAGTTTCTAAGTAACTTAATATTTTTTTTCAGAACTCACTGCTTCCACAAACAATCTAAAGTTCCTCTTCCAGCCCCATGACTCTGTGCTCCGAGCTATTTATTTTAATTAGCTTTATATTGTATATCTAACATGAGCCAAAAAAGAAAACCCACGAACAGCTGCCCATTAGCCAGTAAGCAGAGCCCTGGAACAAATCAGCCTCAAACAATGGATTATTCGGAATTGTAATCAAAGGGGAGGCGAGCTCCCTGCTAACCGGGTGCTGCAGAGCAGAGACTGGGGAAAGGCTTTCAGGGAACTCAGGAAGGAGGCGCCCTCCTGCCTGGAGGGGGTAGGCTATGGATCTAGACTTCCCAGGTCAAAGCTCGGGTTGAACGCTGGGTCTGAACATATTTGCCTCATGCTTTACCCTTGATGAAGCCCAAGCTTCTGCTCACTGGACGCTACTGCTCCAAAATGTCCCGTTGGACACCACGTTCAGCTTTGATGTAAATACTGGTTCTCTGAACATATCCAACACACAGTGACCCGCACAATGGTCACAGGTCCAGGGCAGGAGCACAGGCCTGCATCCCCAAACTTCTGTGTTACCACAGCCTGGTGACCTAGAAGTCATGAACACAAAACCCAGAGCCAACCCTTGCCATCTTGGTATTCTTGCCTCTCCCTGCCTCAGTTTCCCCCTCTCTAGATAAAGGATCAGAACAAAGACTGAACGGCAAGTGTATCTTGTCCATTAGACTCAGCTAGAAGAGTCCCTGGGCAGACAAGCACGTACGGTGTAAGTGGCAGCTATTGTTGAAATGCTGCTGGAGAAGAGGATGGGGCACACATGGGAAATGATGGAGGCAGGGACAGAAATTGTTTGTTGTGCTAAAAGCAGCCAATCTTCAGCCGCAACCCAGGACTCACAATTGGGTTCAGTTTTGTAGCAGAGGAATAAAATGAAAGAAGGTGCACATAGAGCTGGTCAGAGAGTGTGTCTGAAATGGGTTTTAGCGTGCCTCCCAGCCACTGTGTGAGATAAAGCCCTTGTGCAGTTTTCATATAAATGACTCACATAAGCGTTCAGATATGCATTGTGTTTTCAGGTCCAGGGGAACTGAGGAGTGTGGATCTCATCCTGCAGGTACCAGGGAGCCAGGGAGGGTTTTTGAGAAGGGAGAGTGACCTGACTCTCAGTGGTTGGCATCTTCTCTAGGGAATGCCTACCGAGAATGCTTGGAGAATGGAACATGGGCCTCCAGGATCAACTACTCACACTGTGAGCCCATTTTGGATGACAAGGTGAGTGACCCTGTTTTTCCCCACCCGGGTCCTCATAGAGTGTTAGGACTCAGGCTGAGCACAAAGGATCTTATGGGCAACAGAACCAGTATTCATGTTACCCAGATCCTCTTTTCTATGTCTCCTGTCCTGCCTGGAGTCCTCCTCCAAGAGAGCTTGGGCTGGTGGCATGAAACTTGGGAAGGTTACAGCCATGTAGCAGGTGCTCCCTGCAGCTAGCAGGTTCTGTGAGCATGTTCTTTCCTCTACCACTGAGCCTCACTCTCCCCACCTGGCATTTGCTTCTACCGTTCCATGGAAAAGCAAGTACAGCCTCATCAGGACCATCGGGGCAGGAAGCTGGGCCTGCCTGGGCCTTGCCACCCAGTACTGGTTCTTGCTCTGGAAATGGATTCAGTGCTGACAAATATCTGGCCTCCCTTGCCTTTGGGTGGAGTACCGTGATCCAACCCAGGGCCTCATACGTGCTAGGCAAATGCCCTCCCTCTGAGGTCCCCCTCCAACAAGCTGTGCTTCACTTCTGACCCAAAATGATATGTCCCAGTTCCATTCCCTCCCCTCATTCACCTAAGGAAGTCCTCAGTGTGTCTGGAGCTCTCCCTCAGACAAAGTCCCAGTGCAGAGGCTGGAACATTGGCCTCTTCTGAGAAGGGCTGCCACAGAATGTGAGCCCAGGCATTCCACAGGGGGCCTCAGGGGAGCAGGAGGAGAGCCAGACAACCTGGCTAGAAAGAAGCTCTCTTTGGACAACCCTCTGTTCTTCCTCTATGTCCTTACACCCCTCAGGTGATGGTGCAAGGTAGACTGACTTGTATTCCATTTGAGTGTTATTCCTAAGTGTTCTACAATATGTATCTTCACTGCTCTGCTCAGGGACCAATCCAAACCTACCCCTCTGGGCCTCCCATAGTTCACTGCTTCTAAGGTACAAGGGAAGATTGGTCCCATATTATAGATGTCATAGCTAAGGGCCATCTCACCCTGAGTTGCTCTGCCAGCTGGGGTCGGAGGAGAGACAAAACCCAGATGTGGCACTGGAGAGGCTCAAGGTTTAAATCTGTATCTGTAGCTCCAGGATATCTCAGAATAGACCATGTCCGATGGGCGGTGGTGGCGCATGCCTTTAATCTCAGCACTCAGGAGGCAGAGACAGGTGGATCTCTGTGAGTTCGAGGCCAGTCTGGTCTACAAAAGAGTTCCAGGATAGCCAGAGAAACCTTGTCTTGAAAAACAAAAACAGACAAACAAAAAGAATAGATCATGTCCATGTCCATGTCCAAATGTGCCCCTAAAAATTCATGCTGGGAGGCCTGATTACAGTATCTGTGAGTGTGTGATAAGCTCTGTACCACTGATCCTCAGCTCCAGCCTTCTATTTTTTTTTCTTTCTTTTTTAGACATTAAGTTGTCCAGAGAGGTCCTCCTAACTCAGCCTCTCAAATAGCTGGATTACAGGTCTGCACCTCCAGGCTTTAGCCATTTATAATAATAGAGTCACCAGGCCAGCAGAGGGAAGATCTAGAAGCCAGTATTGGTGGGGATACTTTGAGCCTCTTTTGTCCCAAGGTTAGGACAGAAATGGCTGGAACAGCAGCCCTACCCCCACATAGCCATGCTTCTGTCTTCCCATGCCTGTCTGTCTGTCCAGCAGAGGAAGTATGACCTGCATTACCAAATCGCCCTCATTGTCAACTACCTGGGCCACTGTGTTTCTCTGGTGGCCCTGGTGGTCGCTTTCCTGCTCTTCCTGGTCCTGCGGTGAGTCCACCTCCACCCTGCTCTCTCCTCACCTTTTTCTCTCCCAGACATTGTCTCCTCCACTCTGGGACCCAGGGAAGAGTGGACAGAGATGGGTTAAGCCGGGTGCTGGAGCATGACCACCAGCCAGCCTGAAGGGTGCAGAGCAGGCCCAGCTGTGACCGCCAGGGGGATCTTGGGCTCTGGTGCAGCCCCACTTCACCCCAGACCCTGTCTTTCCCAGTGGGTCCTTACCCTGCTGACCCCCAGCCCAAGCCCCAGCCGACCCTGGCTGACCCTGCCCTGGGCCTCCACAGGAGCATCCGCTGCCTGCGGAACGTGATCCACTGGAACCTCATCACCACCTTCATCCTGAGGAACGTCACGTGGTTCCTGTTGCAGCTCATCGACCACGAAGTGCATGAGGGGAATGAGGTCCGTGCCGGGAGCCTCAGGCTTGGGGCTGCCTGTCTCGCTGCCTGACACTTGATAGTCGGTCTCCTGTAGTGACCCGCCCCGGGCCAGGCCTTGGGGGTTGCACCCAGCTAAAACCACCACCAATCCCTGCCCTTACCCACCTTGTAAGTCCAGGCGCCTTAGAGGAAAAGGAGCCGGCACTAACTTCTTCTACCAGGGGTTTTATTGCTTAATCTTAGCATAGGACTGGAGAGATTAATCCCCCTTCCACAGACATGGAAACTGAAGCTCGGAGAGGTGAGCTTCACCACACCAGGTCACAATAGCAGCCCTGACCACAGCTCCCACTCCTGTCTCGGTGCCTTCCTTTCCTCTCACCACCAGGCAAGGCGACTACCTCGAGGCTTAGGGAAGCGCCCAGATTTGTAGAGACCTCAAAACTAGCAAGACCCTCCCTCTGTCCCGCGTGAAACATGAGCCCCTCCAATGCCTCAGCGGCCATGGCCCCACACTGCTCCTTATGGCTTCTTTCCCTCACGCTGTTTTAATTTTTTTGTTTATTTGTTTTGGTTCTTCGAGATGGGATTTCTCTGTGTAACCCTGACTGTCCTGGAACTCACTCTGTAGACCAGGCTGGCTGCAAACTCAGAGAGATCCACCTGCCTCTGCCTCCCAAGTGCCAGGATTAAAGGTGTGCCCTACCACCGCCCGGCATTTCATTCTTTTAAAGTGAAAGTTCAAAGTCTATTCCTAATCGGAATCCGGTCTGACTAGCTATGTAGCCGAAGGGACCTGAGCACTGAAAAGAGGGCTGGTCAGACCCAGCTCTGGTTGCAGAAAGCCGACCAGCCTCCCTTTCTAGACTGAAAGCATACATCACACATGGTGATGTAGGCCTGTAATCTCAGCTACTTGGGAAACTAAGAAAGAGTTTTATACGTTCGAAGCTTACCTGGGTCACATAGTGAGTTCACAGCCAGCCTGGGCAATTTAGTGAGACACGGTTGCAAGTGTTTTCAGATGTCTTAAAAGGCTAAGACTGTAGCTCAGAGTGCTTGCCCAGCAGGTGGGGGAGCGTGGGTGCTATCCCCTATAGCAGAGAAGCAAAAAGAGACGGAGGAGGTAGGGGAGGAGAAGGAAACGTGGCGGGGGAGGCTGGGAGAAACGCTGCCCAGAAGTGAGGGTGGGCGGCTGAGCTACCCCACTGAGCCCCGAAGCGGGAGGTGCTTCGTCTCCCTGTGGGACCTGCTCTCCTGCCCCAGCAGCCTCTCACCACCCCACCCCACCCCACACGCAGGTCTGGTGTCGCTGCATCACCGCCATCTTCAACTACTTCGTGGTCACCAACTTCTTCTGGATGTTTGTGGAGGGCTGCTACCTGCACACGGCCATCGTCATGACGTACTCCACCGAGCACCTGCACAAGTGGTTCTTCCTCTTCATTGGATGGTGTGAGGGTCCCTGGGGGGGCAGGAGGGCCTCCTGGGAAAGGGGCACTGCTGGTAAAACTTGCCCCTTGGTCTTGAGGCTAAGGACTGGAGCCCAGCCTGCCTCGCTACCCCATGCAGCCCCTGTCGTTACCCTATGCTGTCTTGGCCAATGCCCCAGGACAGCTCTGCCCGCCACCCATGCGCCATCTCAGGATGAATCTGCTTCCTCCCTTCTGCCCCCCCTCCCCAAACCCTCCAAAGGTACATTCCAGGAAGCCTTCCTCCTACCCAAGGTGACCAGACCAAAGATCCTTGTTTCTGACTTCAAAAGATAAAGGAGTTGGCTCTACTTGTCCACCACAGCATCCTCTCTGCTTGGAGAGCATGGTTGAGAGTTGGGGCAGGAGTGGAGGCAGGCACCATAGTGTCACAGATAGCCTGTAGTTGGAAGACCAAACACACAGTCCCAACCCCCTTGTGACCTCCTGCCTTGAGACAAGGGGGTCTTTCCGCATCTGTCCATCCTGTGCAGCACGTATCTCTCCTTTCAGGCATCCCCTGCCCCATTATCGTTGCCTGGGCGGTTGGCAAACTCTACTATGAGAACGAACAGTAAGTGGGGCAGGCCGGTGGGGGGGGGGGGGCAGGTGAGTTAAGATAGGTCAGCCTTGGCTCTGGCCCAGCCCTGGGTGAGGTGGAATCACAACCCTTACCCGAACAAACCACGCTTTTGTAAGTCCTCAGGCAGAAAGAAATAGGTCCATCCCCATGAGTCCTCATACACCAGGCTCACACAGTGTATCTGTGGAATTCAATTCAGCCTTCCTTCAGACTGGGATACAGGACCACAGCCCAGATGATCGCTGCTCCCCATGGGGTCACAGGGGTACTGGACCACGCAGCCCAGATGACAACCACTCCCCATGGGATCACTGGGGTACTGGACCACAGCCCAGATGATGACAGCTCCCCATGGGGTCACTGGGGCAAGAGGTGGCAAGTGGAGTTTAGGAGGTGGAACAAGACTAGAATCACCTTTGAGGACCTTAGCTTTGGGGAAGTCTCATAAAGACGAAAGCTGCTCGGGATGCAGAGGCCCTCGGTAGCTGATAAGCTTTCTCTCAAAGGGGCTGTTCAAATAGAAAACAGAAATTTGGGGTGTTCTGAGATGGCTGTCTGAGACTGGCCTGCGGCGGGTGACCTCCGAACTTCCATACTTGCTGGTAGAGTCAGGAACTTAGCCTGGCCTTTCTTCTGGGTCCCAAAGCATTCCCAGCAGTCAGTGAACAATGGGGTGGCATGGGACAGCTAGGCCCTAGACCAGTGAAGGGGAGCCCAGCTCTTCCGAGGTTCCTGTACCTGCTGAATTCCGAGTCCTGGGGCCCCACAACCTGCAACAGAGTATCGGACTGTGGAGGGCCCCAGGCAAGCCCTGAGGCTGGTCACAGGCAGCCAGCCCCACCAGATACAACAAACGACAGGGCAGGGCCTTGCAAGGGCAGTGCATGGAACTATCCACCAAGAACTGCCCTGGAGGCTGGGCTAAGGAAGGGTCGCATCACCCCAGAGGATCCTAGTTCTGAGTTGAGAATGGCCCTCCGGGCACAGCCCAGGAGGCCACTTCAGCTGCCCTGTCTTTGCAGGTGCTGGTTTGGGAAGGAACCTGGTGACTTGGTGGACTACATCTACCAGGGCCCCATCATCCTCGTGCTCTTGGTACGTCCTCTGGGGGTTAAGGGGCTGGGGCACTAGGAGCACAGCAGGAAATCCACCCAGGCAGAGACACTGACAAAGGCCTGGCCTGGGCAGCACTCTGTACTGCTCCTGTGCCCTGCCCAAGGCACCCAGTTTCCATTGTCACCGATTCTCCTTTGGGCTCTGCCTGGGGCCACCTGCACATGGCTCCAGACTCTCCTTGGTATTTTCTCTGGGTGGAGACATGGTCTGACTGCTTGGTTCTATCTTTCCGGGTTCCTGTGCTCTATGCCAGGCTCAGTGCTGAGATGGGAAGGTAGGCAAGCAGTTGGTACAAGCGAAAGGTGTGCTGGCTCCTGATCGGCACAGAACTGAGCTCCTCTGCCCCCAGGAACACCCTCTAGGGCCCCGCCCACCGCCCTCAGGCTGGCAGTAGATTCCAGAATGCAACATAATGAGCAATTGTTCCTAGGCCAGCTCCCCGCCCTTTGCCAAGTGTATTCGCATCTAAGATATAATTGCCACCACATCTTTAATCCACAACAAGCTTTAATTAAGATAGAGTTTAAGTAGGGGCTGCATTCTGAAAAAAAAAATCCCATTATATATCATACATTAAAAAATATACAAAAAAATCCATAAGAAATTGATATTTCTATAAGATTTATTTCAGGCTTCTGTGTGTACTAGCTCTGTTAAAGGGCCATGGAGCCTTCTGGAAAACTCAGAGGATGCCCTCCTCTTGCACACAGCAGGTGCCTAGCAGGGCCTACCTTTGTCTATCATGGTGACAAGTACCATTTACATCTTCCATTTCCTGACTCTCTCCTTCCTGTGACTGTTGGAGTCACTGGACCCCATCTTTGGAGTGTCCTTGATGGACATCAGCTAAAGATGGCTAGAAAGGTTTCCCACCCACCTTCAGGGCTCCACTCACTTAAGAGGCAGAAGCTGGTCTTTGTCAGCAGTGAGGGAAGGATTGTCCTTGGCCGGGCAGCTGCAGTGACTCACTCTTCAGTGTGAATGAAAACCTCCCAGCCAGCTGCCAGGAGCTCATGTGGAGAGATGGGGCTTTTGATAAACCTGGGACCCAGCCAAGAAGGCTGGCCTGGATGGGATCCAAAAGCTTGGGAATAGCTCCTGCCTGATGTTGTTGTTCAGGTAGTGAGGAAACCATGAAGGAGTGAGGAGAGGTGTTTGGAGTCCAGCTCCCTACTGCCCAAGTATGCCTCCTTCTCCTGCTGTGCGCGCGCGTGCACACGCACACACACACACACACACACACACACACACACACACACACACACACACACCCTTCCTGTGGAGCTGGTTAGTTATACTAGCAGAGGCTTCTAGGACATGAGCTGAGCCCTTCTCCAGGTTCTGTTCCCAGCACTTTCCGTCCTCACACTTGTACGACATAGAGAGAGGGTGCTCCCCATTGCAGAGATGAGCTCAAGGTCTCCAGCACATCTCATGGAGCTGAGACCCAGGGACCAGCCTCCCTGCTTCACCACCCTGCCCGCCTGGCCTTTCTGCCTCTCCAGTGCTCTAGAGGCTTGCCGTCATTCATTGTTGGATTCTGTGAATGTTAACTGGTGGTGGAGTCTGTGAGAAGCCTGACCACGACCTACTGGTTGTTGTGGGAAAAGGATGTTCATTCTTTACAACTGACCCATGGTCTTTTCACCATGATGGCCACCCTGCGCCAATCCTCAAGGCCAGCTCTGTGGTTTATCTGTGTTGGACAGCCAAGGAAGCAGAATCTGTGGTTAGTGATTTGCCCAAGGTCACAAAAATGCAGGGAATTTGAACCTGGAGGCCCACGCTTGGAGCCAAGAGTTCACTGGAGATGGTCTTAGGACCTGCAGTAGGCGATAGGGGCAGGAGCAAGGTCAGGGTTATCTCCAAGACAAAAACAGCCTTGGTCTCAACCTGGCACCTTGGAAGAGCTGTGTGTACAAAGGTCTTAGCCACGTCCCTTTGAAGGTGGGGAGGCTGTCCTCGCTATCTGCCCTGGAGGCTGCCTCAGGACTATTAGCTCTCCACATTTTCAGTCTACTGTTTTCATGCTGAACTATCCCTGTGACACTGGAGAAAAGTCTCGGGCTGAGCGCTGTCCCCTCAAGTGCTCTTGGGCTCAAAGGACACAGGATAGACATCTAAAGCGTGTGATACTTAAGGTCTAACTGACTGATGCTGGGCTTTGTAGCTCATAGGTGGTGGCTCCTTACTCTACATGCCTCCCCAGAGTACCTTCAGCATCCATACAGCATCCCTACATTCCTTGGCCATACCTGTTTCTTGTGCAGATAGATGCCCGAGGCCCCAGTCTGCTCCAGCAACGTGCACACGTAACAACATCCAGGGGCTTGGCTATGCACATCTGGAGTCCTGAGTATGATGTCAGGTGTGCACAGCTGCTGGGAGAGGAAGTGAGCTCTCGGAGCTTCCTCCCTGTGCTAGTCAGCTCCGTGCATGTAGTAATTCATCCAGTGAGAGCCAATCTTCCCAGGGGCTGTAGCTGCTAACCAAGTCCATCTTGTGGGTTTCCCCGGGCTGTACAGATCCATGTAGAGCAGACAGGTGTGGTCCCCAAGTAGGTGTGGTACAGAGAGCTGCAAGATGGGTGAGAGCCAAAAGGAGGAGGCAAGTACAAAGGCTGGAGAGGCCTGCTCAGAGCCAGGATAGGGCCGGGTAGAGATGTCCCTTAGGCCTGAGGTGACTATCTTAAAGATGACAGGAGGTGCCAGGCGGTGGTGGGCACACGCATTTAATCCCAGTGCTTGGGAGGCAGAGGCAGGCAGATATCTGTGAGTTCAAGGCCAGCCTGGTCTACAGAGTCAGTTCCAGGATAGGCTCCAAAAGCTACACAGAGAAATTCTGTCTCAAAACAACAACAACAACAAAAAAAAAAAAAAAACAAAAAGAAAGATGACAGGAGGCAAGTCTAAAGCCCACAGAGAGATGAAGCAAGTCACCTGTTTTGTTATCTGGTCTTCTTCCCTACCCACCCACCACCCTTCATCCCCTGCCTCCCTCTCAGCCTGTGCCTACAGTGAGGATGTGACACCAACGGGGCTCCTGTGAGCAACAACATGACCTACTAAGTGCTTTCCCCTCCAGCAGGCTTGGGAGCCTTACGTACTGGGGTGCAGAAACAGCCAGCTAACTTTGTACTTTCCCTGCCTTGAATTATGGAGGCAGGCAGGGCTGTGCCATGTGCACTGTGGGGTAGGCAGTGGCTGCAGCCTCTGGGTTTGTGGTGTGATGTTGAGGGAACTCAGCCCTCTCTGTCCCATGCTCCCCCTCTATAATGCATAGGTACAGCGTATATCTAGAGGATCAGATATTTGCTGGTGCTCTGGACTCTTTCTCAGCAGGTCCTGGAGTATCCAAAGCCTCCCTGGGACAGACCTCCAATGAGGAGGGGAGCCAAGCTGCTGAGGGTAGTCAGTTTCTGTCTGTCCATGTTTCCTTAATCCCTGTAGCAGCAGCATGTGTAGGGGCTAGGAGAATGGGGCTTCTGAAGCCAGCGCTGCCGTCTATGGCTTGACAAATCAGTCTTTTGTACCTGGGCATCTCTAAAGCATGGCTGGTGGTGGGGCCTGCCTGTAAACGAGGCTGCAGCTTGAGGAATAGCTGTGTAGTGTTTGAGACTACACCTGGAATGGTGTGAACAATAGAGCTTCTTTGTTGAGCTCTAGGCACGCATAGGCCTCCCCAGGCCTGGCCTGTCAAAGAGACTGAAATGCTTACATTGTGGGAATCAAGACAAGATCTTCTCCCATGGTGGCTGCCTTGATACCTACCACCACCTTCCAGGCTCAGGCCCTCTCTAGGCCTGGCACCCACTCCACTGAGCCTACTGAGGAGAAGCAGATGGAATGCAAGTGTCCGTGGCACTGAACCACCAATGGTAGGGGTGTGGGAAGACAAGACTTCTTGAGGAAAGCTTCTTCAGGGAGCTAGCCTCACCTGTACCATTCCAGCACTCTCAAAATCCAGCCATGTGGACCACCTTAAGAACATTCCAGGCCAGGTGGGAGTGCTCTGCAAGGGAGATGTTGAGGAAAATGGGATTTTCCTATGTGACCTTTCAGGTGCTTCTCCCTCGTGGAGCTTGTCTTGACTCCCACAAACAGCATTACACTGGCCGCCACCAGGGACTGGCTCCTCCACCCAAGACCCCTCTCTCCTGGTCTGGTCTCTGCCAGGAAGCTTCCCGCTTTCACAGCTAACGTTGTCACCGGTTCTCAGGTTATTTTAGTGCCATTTCTCCAGCATTTCTGAGGGAGTCCCTAAGAAAAATGCAGTCCCTCCCCATCTGCAACTAGTCCGTAGATCTCCGTGAGCAGGTGCTGTGTCTGCCTGTCCACATGCCTTTCACTGGTGCCCAGCACAGAGTCTGGCATGGTAAAGTGATTGGCTGAGTGCAAGAATGGTTAAATACTACCAAGAGCCAGGTTGGACAAAGTCTGGGTACAGTGGCCCATTGAGGAGCTGTATGCTTTGCTTTGATGTGCAGGGTAGAGTTAAAGGTGGAGTACTGAAGAGTTCAGTGTGGGCTGGAATGATCAGGGGGCTCCCTGGAGAGAGAGGAAGGTGTCTGGAGTGAGGCTGATGTAGACACCATGAAGGACGAGGCTGAGAAACAAGTTCAGAAGGAAAGAGTAGCTTCCTGGGAGTACAACCCCAGGTGATAGCCTGTTAGTCAAAGGAGAGGGCCAGTTCTCTATACGCTCCATATTAACCACCTTTCGTGCCCTGCTCACCACAGAGAACAGGGGCCTGTAGCCAAGGGGTACTCAGTGACCATTGGGTGCATGGGAGGGTGGGTGGGTGATAGATGGATGGATGGATGGATGGATGGATGGATGGATGGATGGATGGGCAAAAACAATGAGTGGACAATAAAATGAAGTATTTTTTGGTAGGAGGATGGATGGATAGATGGATGAATGTTTGGTAGGTTAATGGATAGATGAAACACTGGATAGACCATTGAATGAACTAACTAGTGAATTAGACAATATTTAATGCAAGAAAATGATATAGAAATTTGAATATCTTTTTATTCCCACAGTCTCTACTCTCAGAGAAGTCAGAAAGAACTGGAAAAAGATCAAGGACTTTGTGTTACCTTAGGCTAGGGGAGCCTTTAGAGAAACAGGTGGCAGGCTATGAGCAGCCTCCTGGAAGGCTTCCCCTCCAGCTGTCTGTGGGCTCACGCGGCTGTATACTAGATAAGCGTGTGAGAGAGCTGTGAGCTGCAGGGAGGTGAGAGTTCGAGTCCTCCTGTCCCTCTACGTTCCAGCTTGGGAGACAGTCAGGGCTACGCGGCTGATCCATGCTGATGTCCCTTACCCCCTGCCTAGAATCTAGTGTAGGAGGATTAGAAGGGCTGGCTCAATCTGTAGAAGCAATGGATTTTTCTGGACAGAGACTGGAGCAGGGGGCGTGTGTGTGTGTGTGTGTGTGTGTGTGTGTGTGTGTGTGTGTCCACACATATGGGCCAGCAGACATCCCTAGGCTAATTACATGTCTCCTAGCCTGCGAACACTTTCTGAGGAAAGAATCAAGGCAGGCTCGTGCACACTCCCATTTCTGTGTGCTTGCACTTGGCACTACGTGAAGAGAAATGCAAGCACACAGTGTTCCCAGATAGACACACACGCATGGTCGCACAGGACCCACTCTGAGACAAGCACATATGGATAAGCATACAGGGCAACGCACAGAGAGCACAGCCACGGGGACCAGCTGACCAATTTACTGACCCTGGAGATCCCCTCAGAGACCAAGAGACTCTGGGGACCCACAGAGAGCCAGGCAGCATGAAGCTGACTCAGGAGCCGGCAGACCCATGGCAGTGAGAGGTGGGAGCATCTCGGATGTTAAGGGAAAGCGCAAATGAAGATAAATTAGTCCTTTCCCAGAACTGCCGGGCAGCCCATTCATCTTCCTTGCCTGTGGGTGTCTGGAGGCTTAGGAGCGCCTAGGGGGTGGTAGAGATTAGCCACTCCATCTGGACTGTGTCCCTCTCCCCCCAGGGCTAAGCTGAAAGGACCTTTGACCAACCTAGAGCTGGTGACAGTTTGAGGGCCTCTGAGATCTTCCATCAGTAAATAGGGACCCTGTGACCGAGAGAAGACAGATGGATCCAAGATCTGGGGTGGGGTTCTGTGTAGTCTTTGAGCAGGGCATCAGTTGGGGCTCTCAGAAGTGACCCCAGAGGAGTGCTCACTTCTCCCACCCACAGCTTTTACAAGCTGCCTGAGCCACGGGTGGAGATCAGGACCTGGAGTCAATGGGTGTCTCCTGGTCAGGGAAGAGCAGAAGTTGGTGGGGGTGGGGGGCGCAAAGCAGGTGCTCGATGCTGGAGCCTGTGACCGGAAGGCAGGTGTCAGGAATTCGGGGAGGAGGTCTGCTTCTCAGTCACCCCCGACAGACCTTCCGTGGCCCCTCTCTGCTTTCTTCCAGATCAATTTTATATTTCTGTTCAACATCGTCCGGATCCTGATGACAAAATTACGAGCATCCACCACATCTGAGACAATCCAGTACAGGTATGGGAATGCCTGGATGCCTGGCCTGGCAGGCAGGGAAGAAGCAAGAAGGCCCGCCCCCTCACCAGAGCCCTCGGAGTCCTCACCCCTACAGCTTGCTTGAGAAGCCAAGGAGGGCAGCCCATCTTCCCACCTGAGTGAGTCCTGCCTGTAGGTGAACTCCAGTTTGTCACTGTCCTCTCGCCTCCTCATCTCCAGGAAGGCGGTGAAGGCCACGCTGGTCCTCCTCCCATTGCTGGGCATCACCTACATGCTCTTCTTCGTCAATCCTGGAGAGGACGACCTGTCCCAGATTGTGTTCATCTATTTCAACTCTTTCCTGCAGTCCTTCCAGGTAGACATCCCACCAGGGCGGTGCACTTCCCAGGTCTGGAGGCTCACCCTGGGCCTGCGTGCTAGGATCAGTGACACGAGCACTGAAACCCAAGTGCTGGCCCACTCAGATGCTGACCAGGATGCCCTGGTCATGTGACCCCCCACCCTAGGGTTCAGCTGTGTTAGCACTTCGGAAAGCACCTTAGGGCAAGCTCAGGAAGTTGAGGCCAGAGGCCACCAGCCACTCCGAGCAGACCCTGTTGGAACTGCATCCCTTGTCTGGGCCCAGGACTTCTGAGGTCCCACCCAGCTCTGAGCCCTAGGTCCTGTGTCCTCCCGCACCTCCAGCTGGAATGACTCCTCAGCAGATGTCTGACTTTTCCTTCCTTCCTTTCTAGGGTTTCTTTGTGTCTGTTTTCTATTGCTTCTTCAATGGAGAGGTAGGAGACGGGCCTTTCGGGTGGTCTAGGGGCTCAGGCCTCTTACATGGCACTCCCAGGTGGTCTGGTCAAGCTGCCCAGCCTTTCAGAAGAGTTTCAGCACTGGCTCTGCTCAGCTCCGTGGGATGGGAGAGGGGCTGAGAAACCATCCAGCTTTAGGCAAATAGAACTTCTCCTGCAGAACCAGTGTAGATCAACTACGCAAGCCAGATATAACATGCCAGCGCCCAGTGCATGCCCTCTGAGCCAGGGAGCAAGGTGCAAAGATAGCAGGGCCTGTGGAAGCCAGACAGAGGGCATGACAGAAGGAAGCTTCCAGAAACATGTCGTTCAAGCAGTTCTTTACAAACTCAGCAGAAAAGAAATGGCCAGGGGATGGTGGAGAGGCTCAGTGAATAAGAGCATTTGCCTGCCAAACCTGATGCCCTGAGTTCAACCCCTGAAACACATACTGGAAGGAGAGAATCGATGCTTGAATGAAAACGGACCTCCACACACATGCCATGGTGCTCACTGGAAACATACACACACACACACACACACACACACACACACACACACACACACACACACACACACACACACACGAAGAAGCTGGTGTCTTCCATTACAATACAAACAAAAGAGGCTCTATCATGTGTAGAGAACGAGGAGCCAGGAGCTGCCCCTTAGACAATGGTAGGGAAGGCAGGACGGCTGAGGGGGCAAGGCCTGATACCTGCTCCAGGAGGGGCTGAGCTGAGCTGGGGGGCTGACTTACAAAGCCAGAGATGCCTAATTCATGGTGGCAGGGGTATCCCCAGGAAACTGGAACCTTAAGTGAGCCAAGGGCCTCTCCTGGAGGAGAAGGAAGATGGATCCCTGAAAGATGCTGCAGGGCAGGGAACAGGGCTTAGGGGAGGACCTCCATTTGGAACCTCATCAGCCCCTTGGAGTGAGGGTGGCAGGCTGAGGGCCATCCCAGACTCCTTAATGGCTTTTGGGGTGGAGCTGGGGGACTGGCAGAGGCCTGGACCAGCAGGTGACTGAGCCTCTCCCTCCCTGCAGGTGCGCTCGGCCCTGAGGAAGCGATGGCACCGTTGGCAGGACCATCACTCCCTCCGAGTGCCTGTGGCCCGGGCCATGTCCATCCCCACATCGCCCACCAGGATCAGCTTCCACAGCATCAAGCAGACAGCCGCGGTGTGACCCTCTGTCCTCCATCACTACACCACTGAGGCAGCTTCCCCATCCTCTACAGCCTTCCCCTGGGTCCTCCTTGCTACACTGACCCTTGGGGTGCAGGAAAAGGAGGGGAGAGATCCACTCTCCAGCCTGGAAGGAAAGGAACGCTATGGGAGGGGGCTCTGAAGGACCAGGGCCCAGTGCAGCCACAAGTCTGCAAGCAAGAGGGAGCAGAGGGATGCTGCAGACCCCTCAAAAAGAGAGGCTCTCACATCCTCAAGGCTTTGCGCACCCAGCCTCTTGCAGATCCTCACTGTAACACCATTTACACATGAAGAAATGGAGGTGCAGAGCAGGCAAGGGCCTGGCCAAGTCACACAGTTACTTGTCTCACTCACAGCACCCACGGTTGGCTCTACTCCTTGCTTTCTGGCTCCGTACTTAGGGGTGCCCTCTGTAGGTGGAGGAGACAAGAGTTAACTTACCTGGCTTCATCCCAGGGACTGTCTAGCAGATAAGCCTCCCTCCTCGGTACCAGCCCCTCACAAACTGCCCCTCCATCCTTTCTCAGTCCTCCTGCCCCCAGGTCTCCAGGAGAATGCTGTCTTGTCTTCCAGTCTGCTGCCCCTCCTGGGAGACCCCCATTCAGCCTGGGCTCAGCCTGGGGACCTGGAGATGCCATGGGCAATGACACAGAGAGACAGTCACACTCTCAGGCCAATCAGATACACAGGGCTGGACAGAAGGGGAGCAGCACAGGCCAGGGGGCGGGGGCGTTGGGGGGGGGCAGAGTGGCGGGAGGCTCGCCCAAATCAGAGCATTTCTCCTCCGACTGCTTCAGCCTCTGCTGCAGAAACGGCTCCTGTGACGTCAGCCAGGTGTCTGCGGGGGTGGCAAGCTTCAAGTCAAGCAATTAGACATCCGAGAGATGATGTGGGCCAATGATGAGGACAGAGTGTCTGCAGGGCATAGCCGTGTCCCTCTCCTTAGAGATGACAGCCTGGGCCCAAGCAGGCATTCCTCTGGCCTGTGGTGGGTTTGGAGTCTTCAGGTTCAAAGGGCCTAAATCATCCTTGAGGATGACATCTGCCCCATCCCCAATACAGAGCCTGACTGTGCCAGGGACTAAGATTCTGGAACTGGGAGGGAGGGGAGGCAAGGCCCCTCAGGCTCCACAAACAAGAAGAAACAGAGCTTGGATTCGGACTCCACCTCCATTTCCCCTGTCTCCCTCCCCTCAGCAGAAGAGGAGAGAGAAGCCAGCAGACTATAGTCTTGAAAAGGGCCCCTTGTCTAGCTACAGCACAAAAATAAACTTTGAAAAATTATTCCGTTTTATACATAGTTTGACATTTAATACATTTTAAAGCGTGGAAAGATGTGGTTTCTGACATTTGGTAAATATTTGAATTCTAGATGAAACCTGTCACAGCTCTCTTAAAACACACCAAACGACACCTAGATAGTGCATGATTCCAGGGCCACTGTGACCCGTCTGCAAACACTCTCGTCAGCAGGCGGCGGCTGTTGTCCCTTTCTTCCTAGCCCCCGCCTTCACCCCACTGTCCCTAGAGGGTTTTATTTCTAGAGGTCCTTTTGACTCCCTTATCGAACTTCTCTGCCTGGCTCTTAGGAATGTTTAGAGCCTTCTAGATTGGGCTATCACAGCTCTTCTGCTTTTCTGGGTTTGTTGGACAGGGCCTCACTATTTAGCTCAGGCTGGACTCAAACTTGCTGAGTAGCTCAGGCTCACCTTGAACTTACAATCCTGCCTCGGCATTCTGAGTGCTAGGATTATAGACACATGCTTAAAACTATTTTTAAATATAAACAACTTATTAAAGCCACATTAGATACTGAAGGGTATTTTTTACACTTATTTCCTTGAGGGGAGTGCGTGTGTACCACTCTTGTGCTGTAGAGTCAGAGGAAATCTTTTGGAAATCAGTTCTCTCTTTCTACCATGTGGGTCCTTGGGATCAAACTCAGGTCAGCTGGCTTTGGCGCAAGCACCTTTACCTGCCGAGTCATCTCGCTAGCCCTAGATATTGACGTTACAATTTTTATAACTAGTTGTTAAACCCAAAACGGAAATTATATTGAAACCATACCTTAAACAAACGAATAGAAATTTAATAGTTCAGGAATCCTTGGATGCATTTTTACAGCAAAAATGAGTCAGAATTCAGAATCAATTTCTTTCCTCTTCCTCCCCATCCCCCGCCACACTCCCTCCTCCCTTTTTTTTCACATCTGTATAAACAAGAAGCTGTAGGCATGCCACTCACTTCCTTATATGCTTCTGAGATGTATGCCCCAAATTGCATGGCAATCTATAACCAAAAAATGCTCTATCAGCTGCCTCTTAAGCCCCCTTTGTATCTGACCAAAAAGAATGAGCTGAAAATGATTCTGTGGCAAGCTTTGTGGCCCCGGTCAGCAAGTGTTCGGTGTCTGCTCCCCGGCCCGTGTATCAGATAGTGTTGGTGGGGGCTGGTGAAGGGGAGTTTCACACTTGACGATGCCCTGGAGAGTGATGTGGGCAAGGCTCTGGCTCTGCTTCTCTTCTTATTGGGGAGGTAGGTGGCAGGAGTGCCTAGGCTTGGCTTTCTCAAGGGACAGAAGTCAGGCATGCAAAGTCTCCCTGCCTAGTCAGAGGAGAGGTAATGGCTGAATGGATGAGCATTGTAGATGCCCTTGTAGAGCAAAGAGGTATAAAGGGCTTGGCCCAAGAGGTCATTTGAAGAGTTATTGAGACTAGAAGAGACAGCGGGACTTATCAGGGCTGATGCCACAGAGCCTCATCAGTACCACTCATCAGTGCTCCTCAGATGCCTTCTTTCCTCAGTCCCACCCATCAGTGCTCCTCAGATGCCCTCCCTCCTCAGTCCTACCCATCAGTACTCCTCAGATGCCCTCCCTCCTCAGTACCACCCATCAATGCTCCTCAGATGCCTTTCCTCTTCAGTATCACCCACCAGTGCTCCTCAGATGCCCTCCCTCCTCAGTATCACCCACCAGTGCTCCTCAGATGCCATCCCCCCTCAGTACCACTTATTATTTCTCCTGTATGAGTTACCTGGATGGTTCAGGGTTCTGTGGTCCATGCTGGGCGGGACAGTACTACCCATGTCAGCACCATGAGAAGCATCAAGTTACAGACCTTTTGGGTAGAGATTCCCCCCCAGCCCTGCATCGTTCTGCTCCCTGGACTCCTGGTTGAGTGGTGCCCTTGAAGTGCCACCAGACATCAGGCCATCTGTCTGGGTCCCCACTAGTTAACCTCACTCAGCTTCCGATCCCTACAGCCCAGCTGGTCCTCATTAGTGTCTTGCAGTCCCTTGCTGAGCAGCCTTTCTGGAAAGAGGTCTCATTATCAGACTCTATCAGAACAAATTCCAACACCCAGACCCTGCAGGGCCCTGGGCTCTCATTTAACCCTTTCTCCAACTCTGTAAAGCTGGGGAAGATGAGCGAGCACACAGGAAATCTCTCACCCTAATCCAATGGTCCTATTTGCAGTAAGACTGCAGACCGAGCCGCAGCCTGTTTCCAAGCCCAGGGGTCCCTTCATAAAGTGGGGCCAGAAAGCGCAGGCTGGGGTAAGAGCTGGTAAATTGTAAATGTGGCTTCGAGAAAGGCAGGTGATGGAGCATCTGTGGGGCGGACGTCGGAGACGAAGACAACATTTCCCAGGATGCTTTGCTGAGAGTCCATGGTAGAAAAGCTACTGAAGGCCTGAAGCCTCTAGAGCTGCAGGGTCCTGTGGAGGGTGGCTGACAAGCCATGGCGAAACTGGACTCTGGTGGAGCTCAGACAGTACAAAGAGTGACCTAACATTCACTTGTCCAGAGATGGGGATACAGGCCTCTCAAGAGTGGAGTGTTCCAAGGTTCAGTGGACGCAGGAACTAGAAGCCATGTAAGCGGCCCTCTGGCAGCTGTGAGCTCTGTGCCTGAGCTAACAGGCAGGGAGGTCATACCAAGTCCTCTTTCCACTGTGGGCGTGCTTGGATGCTAGAGAAAACCAAGGTGAGACCTGTCTCTCTGGAAACCTCTAAGGGAGGGCAGCTGTGGTAGGAGGGGAGAGGCCTGCTTACCATGCACATCTATTTACTCACTGGTATGACTGGGTATGGTTTCTAGGCTCTGCCCACAAGGTCACCCCTTATTCTCTTGTGGGGCTCAGCATCACTTAAAGATGCTCATTAGCAGGAGCGAGGGGAGGATCTCTCCACCTCTTGGTGGCTGATCCCTCCAGGTTTCCTGGGGGCGTTTCTTAGGAAATGTAAAGCTCTCCACACGGGGCTGGATCACATGCTCCTCGCAGAACAGAACCACCAGTAGCCTCTGTCTCTAGTTGGCAAAGCCTGACCAACAGCCCCTTTCTGAGAGCCTTATGCTGGTGTCGGCCAGACATGTGTATCTAGGTGCTCCTGCGACAGAAGCCACTGCTGGGCTAGGTATCTCTGGCCCTGTGCTGTCCCCTAGAACTCTCTTAACCACTCACTGAACGTTTAGTCCCTTCTCATTTGCTCTGCTCAAGGCTGGGCTAACTCACAGGAGTCCAGTGCCAGCAGGACAGAACAAGGGCCCAAGAAAGCAATCAGCATTGGCAAAGGGAAAAATCTATTCTTCCATTCCATTCCTATCCTGACCTCGCATCAGAGCCAAGGGGCCAGTCCCCAACATGGCATCCCCTCTTTCCCATTTCACAGGAATGACAGAAATGGGGGTCAACAGAAGGCTGGGGTGTAGCTCAATGGTAGAGTGCTTTGCCTAATATCTAAGGCCCCAGGCTTGATCCTCAACACCACTAAACAGTGTAACCCCTTCCTGAGGATGTAGTGGCTCACGTCTGCAATCTCAGCACTCTGGAGGAAGAGGCAGGTGGATATCAAGTTCAAGGCTAGCCTAGGCTACATAATGAGTTCAAGGCCAGCCTGGGCTACATAGCAAGTTCAAGGCCAGCTTAGCTACACATTAAGTTCAAGGCCGCAGTCACATAGTAAGAGCCTGTCCCCATCATAATCAGCATCTCATCTGAGGACTCCAGCCTGCTGGAACGTGACTTCCCAATGGTGGAGGATGCAGTCTGCTCTTCACCAGCTCCTAAAGATGGAACCAGACATGGTTTACGCTTGTGTCCTGGTGCAGGCAATGCCTTTCCTTCTTGCATGTGTCCCGGTTTGGACAGTAAGTTACAAGATCACCCCACTTAACTCCAAACTGTCTCACTGCAGTGGAAAGGATCACAAATGTGACTGGAAGAAGTGAGGGGTGAAAGTCAGATCTACAGAAAACCCTGAGGTTTGGGAAGAGACCGGAATAAAAGGGTTCTTCCCAGGCAGAGTCCCGAGTTCCATCTCAGTATCTGCTGGTTAAATCCACAAGTTAGCATAGGCAGAGACAAGCTAATGATGCTCCATCTGGAATAAAATTGCCCTTCACCACTGCTGGGAAGACAGCACAGTAATAAACTGTGCTCTTAACTGGCTTTGCAGGGAACCGAGCAAGGCTCCCTCTGGGTCCTCAAGGCTCAGTCTCCCATCCACACCTCAACATCATGGATCCTCACAGAGGATCCTTTGCCCAGGAAGGCAGAACAATTCAGACTCATCACTGCTTATAAAAGGCTATGTAGGGAGCTAAAGACAGATCATAGCAATTTGGTTCCAGACCTCCAACATCCAGCTCTCCACAACCACTAAGGCTAATCCATCAATCAGTCCTGTGGAATCTTTAACACAGGTGTGGCAGCTTGGCTTTTTTTTTTTTTTTTTTTTTTGTGGTGGTCGGGTGGGGGTGGGGAGTTCAAGTCAACTGTCCAATTCCTTGTTCCTGGCCACAAGAACGTGAACATCTCTGGAGACTCCCACAAATCCCCAATTATCTGCCAATATCAACTGCACCAGGTGGCCTTACTTTTCCAGGTTAGAGAGAGCACACCTCAGGGGCCACACTCACATTGTATTGTAGCCATTTTCCCAACCTGGCAAGGGCTTGCGGGCAGGACCACATCTGGTCCAGCCTCGAGCACCAGTCCTGGTAATATATAACTCACTTCTTCTGGGGTCCCCAGGCCTCAATCTCCCACTGTCCACATGGAACCTCTTTTCTCAGAGTACACAGTTTAGAGGTTCTTACATTTCTGCCTTAATTTTGTGGTAATTTTGAAAAATGGCTTGCAAGTCACATCGTTTACTTGATGTCAACTGAAAGATGGTTTACAGTTCATAATATGAGCTGAAGTTTCTCCAGCGAGGGGTTTGTGAAGGATTGAGATTTCATTTCCCTAAAAACTAGTCTCCACTAAATTTGATAATCTGTCTAGTGG